TCGAGCGGAGCCGGCGCTCAGGAACTCGTTTGAAGGCCTGGGACGGGGTTTTACATAATCACCAGGAGTTGCTTTAATTAGGCTCAGCAAAATGTTTCAATTTTAGAGCGAAACGTTCCATTTTTTACCGCCCTGCTCGGAGTCACAGCTGAGACACGAAGGAGCTGTGAAGACTGAAAGAATTCCAGAGGAGAACGAGGTCACGGAGAGTGGCTTCAGGAGGACACATTTCCACCTCTGGAAGATCCCCAAATCTCCACGCACAGCTGCTCCTCAGCCGAGCACAGCTCCCATCTCCCAGGATCCCCGGATGGTTTGGGTTGCAGGGACTTTAAATCCCATCCCATTCCCACCCCATTCCATGTTCAGGGACACCTCCCACTGTCCCAGGTGGATCCAAGCCCCAGTGTCCAACCTGGCCTTGGGCACTGCCAGGGATCCAGGGGCAGCCACAGCTGCTCTGGGAATTCCAGCCCAGCCCCTGCCAGGAATTCCTTGCCAATCTCCCATCTCTCCCTGCCCTCTGACAGTGGGAAGCCATTCTTCCCCTCTGATGTTTTAATTATTTTGAGGGGTTAATGACTGATGCTGTGGATTGGCCTTCACAATTCTGAAATGAATAGTCAGGATTTTAGCCTTAAATACAAATATTTAGATGCAAATTCTTCACAGACGGAGCCTTGGAAGGGACCCACAAGGATCATGGAATCCAGCTCTGATGGAGCTGGGTCTGATGGCCCCATCCTTTCCAGGGAATCATCAGTTCAGTCAGGGAATGATCCACGTGAACATTCTGTGCAGCTGCAGGGAGGAACATTTAATTAATTCCGAGGCAATTACCGTGACGAGCCGGTCCAGCTCCGAACAGGGACATTTTCCCAGTTGTTGTGTGGAAGCCAGATGATGGGAACACAGGCTGTTATTAGGGCTTGGCTTGCCCCTCCTGAGGTTCCTGGCAGGTAATCAGTCTATTTTTCCCATTTGGAGGTTTGGATTTTGGTGTTCTGGGAATTAGGCCCACAGGGATGTCCAGGAGATGTTTCAGTGTGAATGGAAGGTTTATTTTTTTTATATTCCCACTAGGAAATATTCCTTGCCCTTGCCAAATACCAGGATGCAAATAGAAATCTCTGGGCTCTGTTTGGCAGCAGATGGAAAACTAAACCAGGCAGGAATTATTGTGGACTCTTGGGATTTGGTAAAACCTGGTGTGGCTCACCTTGTTGCTGCACAGCTTCTCACAGGACGATGAAGGTTGGAAAAGACCTCCAGGATCACAAGGACTCATGGAATTAACTAGGCTGGAAGAGACCTCTGAGGTGGTTGGGTCCAGCCTGTGACCTCAGAGCACCTTGTCACCCGGACCATGGCAGAGTGCCACACCACCAAGGTGACCTGCACTGCTTCACTGAGGCTTTGTGCCACCAGCACCAGCTGCAAATAGTCCTTGAGGCGCTGTCCTAACACCCCTCATCCTGGTGTGCTCTGCAGTTCATGGATTAATTCTGGGATTTTCTGCTCTTGATGAGGGATTTTCCATCTGCACCCAGTGAGGAGTTGGTCATGGACCTCATGGGAAGTTACCCATGGACCTAATGAAGGCTCTGATCACCTGGAGCTGTTGATGCTGGTTGGTTTTATTTGTGTTTTCCTAATTTACCACTTGGATATTTGCTGGGAACTGTCATTTGGGATGAGTTGAGGCTGGGACATAAATGGGGGCCAGAAACACCAAAACCTCAGAACTGTAGAAGGCGAAGGTCGCTCACATTGGGTTCAGGAATTTATTCTACATCTGATATCAGAGTTGGTGACGATGTCATTGGAGAAATTCCATCTTATGTTGCTTCCCTGAGATCCTAAAAATCAGGTTAAAATGGAAATTCATTGATTTGTAGGGAATGGGCTCCCGTATCCTGTTGGCCTGTGGTGGCTCAGGTGTCCCCTGGGTCAGACCCTCTGCTGGGGTTACAGGGAGGGCCCTGCTCTGTTCTCATCCTCATCCCAGCCCGTGCAGGTTTCCAGGGAAAGGTTTGGGCTTCAGTGGGATTGCTGGAAAGATGGAGGAAGCCCTTGCAGAGGTGAAGTCACTCCTCAGTCCTGTGCTTTCTGCAGGATTTCAGTGCCATTCCTGAAGGTTTTATTTATTGGCTGTGAGGCTGCTGCCGGAGCAGCCCCGGGAGCAGGGAATGAGGATAATTACCGGGAAATTATTCCGTGGCCTTCAGCAGGGCTGCGCTCCCTCTTTGGCTGCTGGTGCTGCAGTCTGGGAAGGGGAGCTCATTCCTGGCCATTCCCAAGGAGGGGAGGGGCAGGATCAGGGATTTCCTGCTTGGGGATCCCAGGATCAGGGATTTCCTGCATGGGGATCCCAGCGCTCCTTGTGCCCAGGAGCTGCCTGGCATGGACGTGGATCAGAGGCCCTTGGGACCTCCTGGATCTTGGGTTTTTCTTGTAGGAAGCCAGGATTAATAACAGACATGGGGCACTGAGGGGTTGATGTTCCCCTGAGACAGCTGCAAAGTACCTGATCCCAAAAAATGCTGTTTGATGTCTTTGGAGCGTCAGGAATGTGGAATATCCCTGGTTTGGGTGTGGCATTTCCTGGGATTTGCACAATCCAGGGAATTTGCACAATCCAGGGAGTCACAGAGAGGTTTGGGTCAGAAGGGACATTGAAGATCATCTCATCCCATGGGCAGGACACCTCCCACTGTCCCAGGTGGATCCAGCCTGGCCTTGGGCACTGCCAGGGATCCAGGGGCAGCCACAGCTGCTCTGGGAAACCTCTGCCAGGATCCCTTGGAAACACCTCAGGGTACACGGAGTGTCTGGATAGGATGGAGTTAAATAAGTTTTGATGTGAAATCAGTTCCAATGGATTTAGGATGTCCAAAAGGAATGGATTTTCTTATGGCCAAAATCCATACGGGAACAGAGGGAGCTTCTCTCCTCTCTCACTTTTGTTGGGAGTGGCATCTTCTAAATAAAATTTTTACTTGCTGTTTTGTCCTTTCCTCCTGAGTTGCTGCACCTTTCAGGATGTGGAATGGAGCAGCTCAGGAAAAGGATTCCAAGGGAGCCATGTCCTGAGCAATCCCTCTGGAATGCTCTCGTGGCAGATGTTGGTTTGGCTCCACCTGCAGAGCTTCACTTCAGTCCACAGAATGTTCACCTTTGAGCCCTGGGGTTTGTGCAGGGGCTGTCCTCACCTCACTGGAGCTGGACAAAGATGGGACAATCGGAATCTTTATTGGTGTTGGAAACAGGATTTGTGGAGCTTGAGGGATTTATTTGATTTATCGAAGAAGGGGGTTTTGGTTTGTGTGTAGAGAACACTGGCTGTAGCCACTGTTTAAAATAACAGCTCTAGGGGTTGAGGAGTTGAAGGTCAAAGCTGGGTCAGGGTTTGGGAGTGGAGCAAAGATCTCCAGGGATGATCCATCCAGGCTTGTGGTGGCCATTGCATCATCCCTGGAGAACCTTCGCAATCCCAGTGAGTCATTTTCTCTAAAACTCAAAGTTCCGACCACAGGTCAGTTCCTGACCTCGAGGTGGGCATTCATCAGTGGCCAGCTCCTCGTCTGCATTGTTTGGGATCCAGGACTACCTGAGCTCCCTGATCCTCAAACCCCACGTAGGAACAGTGGATTCAAACTTGTTTTTCTTCTTGTGGCGAAGACCAAATTTCAAAAGCCGAGAGGAGCTGAAAGGGAAGGGAAGCCGAGCTGCAGCTGGGGCAGCCAAGGATTTGGGAGCTGTGATTTGGGCTCTGATAACGCTCTCTGTGTGGCCCTGGGTGAGCTGTTAATCCAGGGGTGCCTCCTGTGCCAAGCTGTCCAGGAGCTCCACGCTCCCACTGGAACCAGGCGTTTTTAACAGCCCCTTAATGTAAATAGGGAATAATTTCCAGCTTTTTATGGATGTTTTGTTCTTGACCAAAGGTGGCTGCGTTCAGGGGAGATGCCCATTTTCCAGACCTCCTTCATTTCACTCCTGGGAGATGTTTCTGACTCTTCCAAAGAGGATTTTTCTTGACTGGCGGCCACGGCTGCGGTGCTCGGTGCCGCCAAGTTCAATGTTCTCCTGGATGGAATAAAAACGTGTTTATGGATTTTGATGAAACTTGGAAATTCTTGGAGTGCTGAACTTGCTGCGTTACGGGAAAAGGAATCAAGCTCTGACTCACGGAGGAGCCTGACCCTGGGGGAGAGGGTGGCCTTGGACACCAGGGCTTGGCTGAGTCAGAAAGGGTTTTTTGGTTGTCTCGGGCATGGATTTGTTCTGGGAATGATCCCAAGACTGGTATCAGTTGGGGCCGTGAAGGATGAGACGTGGCCTCGGTGCCCCCTCTGAATTTTCACTCTTTGTTCCTCTGTATATTTACATTTTTTCCTCACCAAACCATTTCCAGGGTTAAGGGTTCTCTGTCTGTTCTCACTCCAGACCGAGGTGTTTGGGCAGCTTGAAAAGCACAAGATTTTTACAGGGAAATTCACTTTAAATGAAAAGATTTCAGTGTTCAGAAAATCTGAGAGTTCAGCACACTGAGCCCAGCGGTGTCAGTTCTGTGCTCTGGGTTTGTTCCAGGTGCAGAAACAGCTCAAGGTGTAACGATGATGGTTCTCTCATCTCCAGCCCTTGAAACTCTGGCATTTCATGGAACCTCACCCACAACATCCCAAATCCCTCTCCTTAGCTCATCTCAATCCCTTTTCCTCCCAGCCAGGATTTGTTGCCCTGATCCGGGTGCAGGACTTTGCACTTGTCCTTGTCCCTCATGTCCAGCCCAGTCCTCCCTGGTGTAGCAGTTCTGGGTTTAATTTCCCTTTTCTTGCTGCCTTCAGTTGTACAAATTCCTTGATCCCATGATTTTTGTCAGCTTTCTGCCCTCTTTGCTTCCCCTTTTCAGGAATTTTCCTTGCCTGTCTGCTCTCTGTCTTTCTGCTTTTTTTGCTGTTCCCTTTTTTATTAATGTTTATTCCCTTCATTCCCTAAAGGATTGCAGATTCAATCAGTGGAAAATAATTGCCAGGATATTCTTCAGTCTCCTGCTCTCTCCAAATGTTCAGGTACTTTGCACTGGTCACTAATTCCCTCTCCTGGAGAATAACCTGGACCTAATTCCCAATTCTTCAGCTTTCTTTGGCCTCCTGGGGTTGATTTTGTGGCACTAAACTGTGAATCTGAGGACTCACACCTCACTAACCTTTGCTGTGCTTACAGATCAGCTTTCCAATGGAAAAGCTCCCAGTTTTTCCAGTCTGGGCATCTGCTGGGGTTTGAAAAGAGGGGTTTTTGCACCAAACTTCTGGAACCTGGATATCAGAACCAAGTCCAGTCTTCCAGGTGGAGTCACACCAACATTTCTGTTGTTGTTCCCCTGACCTGGACAATCTGCTCATCCAAAATGTGATTTACCTGCCACTGGATTGCAATCCAAGGGGATCTGTGATCTCCATGGCTGTGATTCCATGACCTCTCTCAGCTCTTCACAAAACTGAGATTTTTTTCTTTCCCCAGTTCTTCAAGGGAAAAAGAAATATTGGAATCCCTGAGTGGTTTGGGTTGGAAGGGACCATAAACCCCATCTCACTCCACCCCTTGCCCTGGGCAGGGGCACCTCTACTGTCCCAGGGTGCTCCAACCAACCTGGCCTTGAACACGTCCAAAAATTCTTCTTTTAGAGGAAGAATCCACTGGATTGTTTGAATGTTCCCAAAAAAAAGAAATCAAGGATAAACTCAACCAGCCCATTATTTCTCCATGCATCTCTTGCTTCCCATATGAACCCCTGCACATCCTAACACCAGATTTCCCTTTGTCAGCCCGAGCTTTTCCCTTTATTCCATTTGTCATGTCCCCTTTTTCTTTTTTTCCTGTTTTTTTATGGCCTCTTTAACTCCCATCTGCGCCAGGTTTGCCTTTTAACCAGCGTGGCTGCCCCGCTCAGTTGTGGGATTGTGGCTTCTGGAGCATCTCGTTAAAATGTTCTTAAACAATTTTCAATTAGGCTTCATATTTTTCTGATTACGTTCTTTCTCCCCACTGATTTGCCTCCTAATTATTTTCAGCTTGATGGAACTGGTCCTCTTTAAGATGAGTGGATGCTGTGTTTTTGTGTGGACTATTGGTGGTGCTGGTTTATTCCTAATTTTTATATATTTATGTATTTTTGCACAGTTGTGATCAAGTCACGGTTATTTGAGTTTCAGCTGTCAAAAAAGAAGTGGGAGAAGAAGTGGCTGCTGGTTGTAAAAGTGAATTTTTCCGAGTGGGCACTGGTTTTGGGGTTTTTGGCATTTAGGGGATGATGGTTCTGCAATGGAGGGGTGAAGTCTCCAACCCTTTGATGTCTGGACAACCTCAGCTCCTGCTAACTTGGTGTGCTTTGTTTGATCAGATAATTATGGGATGGTCTGGTGCAAAGGGACCTTAAAGAGCATCTGGTTCCATGGGCAGGGACACCTTCCACCATCCCAGTGTCCCACCTGGCCTTGGACCCTGCCAGGGATCCGGGGGCAGCCACAGCAAATCTGGGAATCTGTGCCAGAGGGAAGAATTTCCCCTTCATATCCAATCTTAACACAACCACAGAATCCCAGAATCCCTGAGGTTGGAAAATCCCTCCAGGACCATCCAGTCCAAGCTGTGCCCAATCCCCACCTTGGCACTGAGTGCCACATCCAGGAATTCCTTGGACACCTCCAGGGACGGCAAATCCAGACCTCCCTGGGTGCTTCCAAGGCCTGAGCACCCTTTCCATGGAGGAATCTTCACAGGTGTCCTGGTTTCATGGGAATGAAATGGAAAAGGGGAGGAAAGCCCAAGTTCCTGTGGAAGGTGAGGGCAACACCACTTCAGCCTGGCCAGGTCACCTGGGGACCTCTCCTGTGACCTCACAGAGCCAAACTGGGATGGCTTTTGGGGTGGAACGAGCAGGGAAGGGCCGTGTGGGAGCACCACCCACGGCAGAAATGGATTTGTAAAGAATTCCCAAAGCTGACAGTGTTGTACACCTGCGTGCGGCGCACGTAAGGTGTGTTGATTTAGGACGGCCGTGGAATAGAGGTGACGCTGTTGAGAGAGAGATGGAACTGGAAATAAGTTTTAACAAGTTTCAAAATGTGGCCTTGCAAAAAGATTAGGTATTCTTAGAGAATTAGAAGGGTGAAAGATGCATTGCAGCAGGACCACGTGGGGTAAAAATACCGGTGATTGGTGCTAGAAGTGTTAGCAGCACTGTGTGGCGAAAACTAATAAACCACAAAACATTTATAAGGTGTTGTAACCAGGAAATGGGCTGGCTTCTGATGGAATGGCGTTGGGTTTTGCACCTCTTGTGTCTCTTCATGGAGACTGATAATGGAACAGAATCTTTTAGAACGCCTCCCAGTCACCCCATCTCTGTAAAATCTGGGAAAACCAGCACTCCCCCGGGAGAGACACCCGGACCTGCCTCCCGCCGCGAGAAGGACCGGGCGTCTCCTCCAGCATCCCGCACGCCCACTGAGGTGTGCTGCCCCTCTCCCTGGGATTGTGACCTCCAGGCCGAGCTCTCCCAGACCCCGGGGCTGCGCTGGGACGCTGGAGGGGCGGGATGATCCCTCCTTAGCCCCGGGATGACCTTTCCCCGCAGCGGGATGGAAGCCATCAGCGCCGCCGTCGCCGGGGCCGCATCTGCAGCTGCTTAGTGACCCCTTCACACAAGGCGCTGCTGCTCGGGGTCATCTGGTTCCAGTTTCACCAGAAACAGAAGGAAATGTTGGGAACATACTTCCCTACATCCAGTTTCACTTGTTGTGGATGCTTGGAATGCTTTGGAACCCACATCTTTGGGGTTTCCAGGAGGGGGTTTGGCCGGCGAGCCCCGGCGACCATTTGAGATTTAGGTTTTTTTTGATTCCAGAAGTGCCCCGGAGGTTGCATTGTAGGGCCTTTTTCCTTATGCAAAACATAAAAGTGCTGCTTTTTTTCAAATTATAACCATATTTTTCATTAAAATCAGTTGGAGTCCCAATAAACAATCGACTCTGAAAAATTTTCCAAATGTTCTCTGCAGCACCGTTTCTATTTTTAATTATTTTTTAAAAAACTGGGATTTTTTTTCTTAAAAAAAAAAACAACAAACTCAAACCAAAAAACACAGCTTGGCTTAGAATTTAAAGAAGCCATCTAGTAAATCATGAAAAATGCACATATATAGCTCCTTATTACAATATAATTAAAACCTACTGCACATGGAGTGTCAGAATCCCTCTGTCGCCGTGTCCGATGGCTTCTCCCGTTTGCCTTATCGTGGGAACTCCTCCTTTCTGCTCCCAACGCTTCCCAAAGCCTCTCCCAGCCTGTTTGTACATTTGTTTTATATAAACTGAGTGCTCTGATCCTATAGAGAGGGATGGAAAAACTCTTCAAAGCAGGAGCCGCAGAAATTCCTTTTTTTCTGGGCAGAGTTTCCATCCCCATCACTCCTTGGGGTTGTCATTTTTTGATTTTATTGGGAATTTCATTATTTTATTCTTACCTGGTGTGATCTTTATTTGCTGTCCTAAAAACCCAACCCACAACTAAGAACAACGCCTTGAGTTTTGTGTCAAAAGTTGTAATTTTTGGTTTATACAAAGCAAGTTAAGGTACCCCAGTTAAATATTTAGGGTTAAAGTTTTTTATTGTGAGCTGGAGGTTGAGGAATATTTCAGGATATTCCTGCAGTGCAGCCAAGTGTCCAAGGAAAATCATCCCTTAGGGAAAGAAGCAGGTGCTGGGACAAACAGTGGTGATGGGGAACCTGTTCCTGCTGCAAAGGAAAACTGGATGAGAGGAAAAACCATGGAGTTTATCCATTTATCCATTTTTGTTCTGCTTTCATGTTTTCCGTGGATCAGTGCGGTGTCTGCTCAGCTTGGGATGAGCCAGGGAGATCTAACCCTGGGCAGGTGGGATGGAAGGTGAGGTGTCCGGGTTTGGGCTTCAAAGTGGAAAAAAAATAGGTTTAGATGGGAAATTGGGAAGGAATTCCTGGCTGGGAGGGTGGGCAGGGGCTGGGCTGGAATTCCCAGAGCAGCTGTGGCTGCCCCTGGATCCAAGGCCAGGTTGGACACTGGGGCTGGGATCCACCTGGAACAGTGGGAGGTGTCCCTGCCATGGAGCTGGATGGAATGGGATGGGATTTAAGATCCCTTCCCACCCAACGTGTTCCAGGATTCCCTGTAGATGTTGACTGGGAGGATTTCCTTGCTGGGCCTGTGTCGGAGGCAGACCTGAGCTGGTGGAGTTGGGAATTTCATCCTGCCTGGACCTTCCCAGAGCCCTCGGCCAGGAGCAGTCGCTGCTGTGGGGGCAGAGCTTTGTCCCACCCCGTCCCAGGTGGTTCAGGTCACCCCCTCTGCCAACGGAGCCATTCCAGCTCTCCTGGGGGTTGGCCTGGCCAGCCAGAGCGTGCCCAAGCCAAGGAATTCCTGGAGCTGGTGGCCAGCACTGGACTCAGTGACATCCTGGCCATGGGAATCGCTGCTGTGCTTCCAGAGGGTGAGGGCAGAAAGGGAAATCCCTGGAGTCAGAGCTTGTTCTGCTCCCAGTGACCCATCCCAGCTGTTGATGGGATAAATCCATGGAATTGTTTGGCTTTTCAGCTGCTGCAGGGCAGTTCTGGTGTGGGACAGGCGTGAAAACCTTTGGAAATGTCTGTTTTCCGTGGATGTTTGGGATGGGCAGTTAAGGGTGGGAAGTTCTTGCTGGATTTTAACAAGGTTTCATTTTTCCTGAGGGACAGGGATGGCAAAGAGGGAATGTCGGGCTGAATCCTTAGGAGGACATGACCTGTTCCAAAGGAGACCAGAAACTTGGGTTTGGTTCTCCTTGATTATAAATTTTGGCTTTAATCTTCTCATTAAGCCTCTGTAATTATCAACAAATACTAATTATGACTCGTGAGGGTCCAGCAGAATCCATTCTGGTTCTGCTGAGCTCCAAACCCACTTTGTTCCGGGAGAGTTTTGGGATTGGCACTGAACACTCTGCAGAACCTCTCACCCCTCTGAACTCCCTGCAGGAATTTCTCTTCCTGGAG